TCAGGAAAATGTCATCTGAGCACACTCGCTAGCCTTCCTTTGAACAGCACATGTTCCCTGGGGCTGTGGGGAAAGGCAGATACGCAGGGTGTCTGTCCCATGACTAATTCAAAGGAAAGGAAAGACGCATTTGATACATGCCTATTATAAAACCACCATGGAAATGAATGCATAGATTTATTCACCTTTAATTATTTTCTTATGAGAAAACATTAACATTTTCTCCTTCCATTGTAATGATACGGTAAACTACATAGAATTCAGATTATATTGTGCTAATGTCAAAGCAGATAAAAAAATTATATTTAAAGTTTATTTCCAAAACCATGGAAAATGATCTGAGAAATTAGAACAGGTGATAGAGGTGTATTATCAGCATCTATTAAGACGTACCCTTTGAAAAACATCATCTTTAAAGTTTATAAAGCGTCCTGAATTTTAGAGAAACTTAACGAAACTGCAATAATAGAACATCCCAGGGGTCTGGAGTACTTAGGTAAAGTGAAAAAACTACAAAGCTTATTCTTTCCGGTCTGTAACTCAGCATGCTACAACCTTTGCTATCTCATGGGTATCTTTGTAACTCACATGCCCACGTTGCAGCACAGAACACTGTGTAGTAGAATTTGTTTTACAATCATTGCTTATGAATAAGATGGAAAGGAAGGAGAATGGGGGTGGAGAATATATTTTTAGTTTTTTGAAAGCAGTGTTACAGTTTTGGGAAACCATGAACGTTGTAGAGAACTTACTCTTCCACAGAAAACAGAAATGTAATTGCTTTCATCTTCATTATATGGATTTTTATGTGCAGCCAAAAACAATTTGAAAAATGTAATAAAATTATACTATTTACTTGGAATACAGTTCCCCCCCCAGCTAATTAAGAAATGCTTTTTATTGAAAGTTTCCTGATGAGAATTAAAATAGAAATCAATTCCATTAACTTCTCACCAAAGCAATACATTTAAAAGTTGGGAAAAAAATTAACAGTTCAGAATTATGGTCAGTGGGTGAAATGTGTCCTATTATATAATTGTTGTTATTTAATAACCTCATGTCCTCTATTGTGATGTGAGTGGAGTTTGATATCTGAGTGAAAATTGACAGCAATAGAATTTTGACAGAAGCTCATCCATCCTTCTAGACTCTGGGAGTCATAATATACCTTTTGTCCAAGTTGTGTAATGTTTATATGTGAAATCCATTCATAAATCTAAAATTTTAATTGGTTTTTGCCTTTACTGAGTAGATTTATATAAGCATAATTCTCCTAAATTAGATGCCATTATTTAAAAATAGTAATAATATATTTTTCCATCCTGGAAAATACATTTTAAATCATTTTAACCCATTATGAACATTTGGAGAGTAGTTTTGAAAAACCTTTCATAAATAATTTTTTTAAAAAAGCAATTGGATTGGGGAGTGTTTGAATATAGGGTAATAATTCATACCAATTATATTGCTAAACATAAGGTCGCAGGCCCAATAATATATAATAATTCATACTTTATGGTCTGATGGCAATTAAAATACCATCGTTAAATATTTTGCAAACATACATAGTTTTTGAAATCTTGCTTATGTGAAATAGTATTCAGTATTTTATTATCCAGAATAGTACCTCTGTTTATTTTCTTGACAATGCATAATCATTAGAGAGACATTCCGAATCTACCTTAGAGCTACACAAAGACTCTTTTATCTCATATTATTATGACTATTAATCCTGTTACTAATATCACAACTATTAGCACTTTTGAGTCTCTGCTGATTCCTATCATGTAAGTATAACACCAATCAGATGGTCCCAAAGTAATGATTATTGCATACCTGCTATCTCTCGCCACAGTGAAGAAACCAAGCAACCAAACACAAAAGGCCTTACTTACTGAATTAGGAGATTGTATTTAAAGAATCTACAAAATCCATAAAAGCTTTGGCTTCTAGCTTCTGAAGGTCAGCAAACCTTACATGAGGCAGAGGGATCACTGGAGAGGTTAAATATTTAATGTTCTTGATGTTCATGGTATGCTAGTAGGTGAATGTTAAGGTCACCTAATGACTACACAAACCCTAACGCAATCACCTGGTTAATAAAGCAGAGAGTTTTGTAGTTTGTTCCCATCTGTAGCTTGGGACCCCCTTACTGCAAGTAAGGTCTTCTGACAGTGGTCTTGCATCATAGTTTCCCCACAACTATGTATCCAAAAAAGATCATTTAATTTGAAGATTTTAAAGATATATTTTGACATAAGTTGACAACTTATGTATGTCAGATTAAAATGGTATGGATCTTGGAATCATAAAGACAAGGGTTTATATTCTGATTAACTATTAATACTTAAAGCTCTAAGCTTTAATTTCAATATCAGTACAAATATGATAATAATTGCCTTGTAGGCATATATTAGTGCTATGGACTTCCCGTCCCCCCAGAGTTCATATGTTGAAATCCTAATCCCCAATATGGTGGAATTTGAGGTGGGATATTCAGGAGGTGATTAGGCCATGAGGGTGGAGGCTTCATGAATGGGATTAGTGTCCTTTGGAGAGGAGACACCAGAGAGCTTTCTTCCTCTTTCTTCTCTCCACCACGTGAGAGTGCCATGAGCAGATGGCCATCTGCTAACCGGGAAGCAGGCCCTTACCAAATACCGGCTCTGCAGAAACTGTGATCTTGGACTTCTCAACCTCCAGAACTGTGAGAATAAATTTGTTCTTTAATCCATCCCATTTATGGTAATTTTTTATAGTAGGCCAAGCTAAAAACATCAGTTTTAGGAATAATATGTGCCAAGCACCCAGCAAAGTCACAGCAAGTCCTAGGTGTGCATTTGAAACAAGTTCTTACATGGCGTGTGCTTGAACCGTGGTTCATTTTTCACTCTGGTCGAAATAAATATATTGTGGGGAGGTGGGATGCAAATTAAACCTTTAATTCAATCAAGATCATTAAATGCCTTCAGTGTGCAAAGCATGGCCAAGGAAGCCATGCACCAATGAAAAGTGGGCTTCTTCTGTTGTTTCCTGGCAGGGGTTAGGCAGTCAGAAGGTAGGGAGAGAACAGAGAAATAGATAGGAAGTGGGGCTCCATTGCCGACAAGTTGAACCTCAGGGAGAACACCTCCTGGTGATTGTTGGGTGGTGCAGTAATGGTGCAATAACCATTTATTAAGCACATATTTTTATTTTCTGTGTTCTGACACTTTGACATCTGGAGCACTGCTGATCCTGTGCAACTGCCCTTCCCAGGGTTAGCCAATTCTTAGACATAGTATAAGTGGCTCACTCTGGGGCATGCTTGTCACATGCAAACCAGCCTATTCAGAGCCACACTCTCAACCATGTCCCTTGCCGATTCTCATTCCAGGCCACTATCCGCCTGCCCTAATCACCTCAGGGCCAGGAACCAGACAAGCAGAGACAGCTTCTATACCCCAGAACCCACTGACATTATTCAAACTAGCCAATTCTATGCCTGCACACCCTTCCTGGCCCCTTCCTTCCTGTGAAAGCTATAACAAAGGCTTTGGCTCACTATCTCGCTCAATTTCTCTGCTTCCTGCTGACCCTGGTGGGTCCCTGTGCAGCTCCCCTATGGCATCCTGTGCCTGTTTTTCTTGGAATATTTGAGTCTAACAAACCATCTTTTCAATGGAAGTCACCTTATGACCTGTTGGTGTCATCCTACCTGAATAATCATAAAGCCTTTATTTCGAAAGAAACCACTAGTGCCTGAAGCTTGCAAAATGCAATGAAAAACATATTACGGGAGGCTGGCTGGGATTGCGTCACCACCCCTATGTATCTGATCTGAAAACACAAGTGTTCATGGGTGACAATAAAAACAACAAATAAATAAAACAATAGAAGTACATATAGGTAGAACAATAGATAGAACCCTTTTATTGGCACAGTAATGTTTCAAAGGCTGGTATGAATAAAGAGTTCCAAGTAGCAAGACATGGTGGACTGGAGCCACTGCTCGGAACTTCCCGATAGCCGACGGAAACACAGCAAGGAACAGGCTGGTGCATTACAGGAGGGTGAAGCATATACAGCAGGTGAATCATGCAGCGTAACTCTGAGAGCACAGTCGTCTTGTGATGCAGCCTTTACCGCTCAAACCGGTAGACCTCTGAATGAATATGACCATTTTACACCACCAGCTATGAATTTGAAGCCATACGTGTTTAACCAAGTGTCGGATGATTTCCTGTAACCTATGCTGAAGTTGGGAGGTGAAATTTAACTAAGGAGTGCATAATCCACCTATCCAGAAATACAGAGCATAGGAAAGACCTGCCTTCTATTCAATGAATAAAATCTAAAACATGGGACTCGATCCATACTTTTGCAAGGGTTCACACTGGCGAAGCTAAAACAACAACACAGTCTCAAGATTTTTAAGTACCTTAGGTTAAAAAAAGTGTGTGGAGAAAAAAAAAATCTAGAAATGATTTTTTAAAATTTGTATTTCAAAGAAAGGGAGCACCACCAATTGCATAAAGTTATAAAATACAGTAATAACATGTAAATAATTATCCGGTTTGTAATTCCAGTAAAACACAAACACCTACAAAGAAATAAAATATATGTCTTGTATACCGTATTATAATAAAATCATTGCAAGTACAATAAACATATTGTTGCGCTATATAAAAACAACTGTACAGTGTACACGAATGGCTCCTTCCCGCCATGATTCTCTTTCCCTGTCTCGCCTCGTCCACACTTTTCCCAGCCTTTCTCTTGCTACCTACGTAGCATGGCCCTGTAAATGTGGAGCCTGAGAATCAGTGTATCACCACGAAATGGATAAGAGCACACACACACACACACACACACCCACACACACAGGGGAATCTCTTGTATTCAGCATCAGTGTCCTGTGCTTTCTTGTATAAATGCATGGAGAGAAAACCCAGCAGGTGTCAGAAGGCAGCCTTCCATGGATGTGGCAGTTTTATTTGGTGAGTCTGCAGTTCAACCCATCAGATGCTGCTGTCCCAGAGCTCAGACGGCAGCCTGTTGCAGGAGGCCCCCTCGGGCTTCTTCAGCAGAGTGGGCTTCTTGCAGGGCGGTGGGGGAGGCGCCCTGGGCTCGGTGTGCTGCAGCAGTTGCTGCCAGCCCTCCCCTTCCTCACAGAGCTTCCGCCTCCAGTCCAGGAGTTCCTGCAGGGCCACGCTTTCGTTCTCTGAGAGCCTCAGCTGATGGATTACCTGTGGGAGGAAGAGAAGGAAAAAGAGTAGCACCGAATATTGTGGATGCATGTGTGGTGTGACCGCAATGCCTGGATGCAAAGGAGCTGGGCTGGGGCGGAAAGAGACAGCACTTTCTACAAAAGCTCCTGCTCTGCTGCCTCTGGAGGCGGCATTGATCCAGGTCAGCTATGCACCATGGAACTGCAATGATGACAGAAAAAAAACACAGGGAAGGAGGCAGGGCAGTTAGCTCACCACGTCTCCGGATGGTATAAGCAAGAACCAAATGTCTGACCTGTACCCTCTATCACTGTGTACACACTTATGGCACCTTGTACCCTTCCTTTATTTCATTTCTCTCTGTAGTAGATGTTCTCCTGCGAACAGAGCTCTCTCAAGCTTCACTCCATTCTAGAAGCCATTCCATCTGTCCACAGTTAACAGTCAGACACAGCTATTAGGGTAGTGGGACCCCACTCCAGACCACAAGGCATGAAGCCGAGCATGATCCTCCTTGAGGGCGTCCATGCGTGGGCAGTATAGCGTCGATCACGTCACACTAATACAGAAACTGTTTCTAAGTGTCAAGCATTGCACAAGACAGCCACTAAAATATCAACTAGCTTATCCGAGGAAAGCTAGCTGGGCTTGACAATATCTACGATCTCTTTGGGGAATCCAGCCACACGCTCTCTTTCGTGGCAGTGAAGCTAAGCAATGAGCTAAACTAGCAACTGTGTACCGTCTCAGACCATGAGCCCTCAACGACGGGAGCTTTGTGGGCTGTGCAGGACAGCAGCAAAACGTGAAATTGTATTAGCTGCTGCCTCGCGCTTCACTGCAGCACGTGAAGACAGACACCCTGAAGACTGCACCGAGCCCCCGACTGCAGCCAGGGCACAACAGGACATGCAGGACACTTGGCTCTGCTCATCCCTTTTCTCCCAGCAGTCTGTAATCTGGACACTGCAGACGTCAATTTTTCTGGCAATTCTGAGTGAATATGCTAGTTTTAAAAAAGATGGGATTCTGGGAATCAGAATGGGAATACTGGGGAGAATTTGGGGAAAACTAGATGACTCATCCCACCTCCAAAGCACCAACTCCTTTGTTCTAGTGCCACTTCCATCGCATCACAACACTGTTTATTAAAACAAAAGAAAATGCAGCAGAACACACATGGTTGTGACTCTTACGTAGAGAGTGGTCACTTGAAAGCAGCAAGAGTAGGTGGTGTTCTGGGTCCAGTTCTAAAACCAACACTTGAGCCTATTGTTGACCTGAGGAAGAGGATTTTAAAGGCTGGAATTAAGGAGATGGTGTTTGAGGCATAAGCTGGAACCTGTATTTAACACGCAGAACTCGAGTTCTGGAGCTGGTTATTAGCAAAAGGAGTCTCTCAAATTGAATTTATGGACAACCAGAGCGGGGGAATACCTAAGCGTGGAAGAGAAGGCTGTGACTGCCCAATCTCTGACGCAGTCTGTATGCAGCAGTAGGAAGTGCGCTGCAAAGCTCCCCGAGGCAGGGAGCTGGTCTCCAGTACTGCTTGGGGTGATCTGGAAATGAGAAATTCTGCGCGAGCCAGATTGCTTTATTGTCAGTGGAGTGAGCCAAGAAAGCAGGGGGCAGGGGATATGCATAAAATTTAGCTATTTAATGAACATAACGTTGGAGGCTACATACACACCAGGCCCTTTCCTGAGTACCTTACACACATTTACACATCTGCTACTCTTAAAAGCCCTATGAAGTTGGTGCTATTATTTTGCAGGCGAGGAAACTGAGGCACAGAGCAATCAGGCAATGGAAAAACGGAAAATGGTGGACCCTGGCGGTCGGGCTCCTGAGTCTCTGCTCTTAACTGTTACTCTGCACAGCTTACTATTTACCCAAGAGTTATCATCCAGGCTCTGACACAGGCTAAGGATCAGGGTGCCCTACACCATGTTCTTCTTTCCCCCTTTTTCTAAATTGGATTTTTAGTGCTATCTGCATTCTCCCCAACAGTGTGTTTTTAGTTCCTCTATTGTCTTGCACCAGTGTATGCTGCGGTGACTGCAGTTAGCTTCAGTCTCATTCACTCTGCGGATGTGGAATATTTGTATTTATGCTCCTTGGCACACATTCAGCATACAGTAGTGATCTCTGAAAAATAATGTGTCACTGGACTTATCCTTAGAGAGAACATTTAACTGATAGAAGAATATCTCTGCCATCTCAGCCGAGTACTTTCCCAAAACTTCCCTGAGTTGTCACCTTTCTTAAAGTGACACAACTTCATATTCATTTATTTTGAAAATAAAGCTAGGGTGCCAGATAAGATGAAGTAGGTTACTGCTCCCATTGTAAAAATTTTAAAAAGAATAAATTACAAAAATCACATTTTTAAAGCATCAGAAAGTTCTGCTAAATGGAGAAAATTCCAGATGGAGTGAAGCTTTCTGAGGTGAACTGATAATTACCAGCTGTTTTTTCCCCCCTGGGGACAGTTGTCAATTCTGAGCTCTTCTGCAGGTCTAGAGAGTCTCTTCTGATATCTTGCAGCTGCACAGGACTAGAGAAACAACTTGGAAACTTGAGGATCCTCAAATGCACAGCCATTTTCCAGAAGGGACATCGTGGAGTTCTTCCAATGTATGGGGGACTGGTGCCTTGGGCCAAAGCTTACAAAAAGCATAATGAAATCTCCTATGATGGTAGAAGTATGTCAGAAGCAGGACTCTGACAGGGGAGGTGACAGCCTCAAGCACATGGCCAGAAGCCTCACCTTCAAATCATTTGCTAGATTCTGAAACTGTGTGGGGCCCACAGCTGGAGCGTGGGGCTGGGAGTTCTGAAATGCAGGGCTGGACCTGCGTCACCTTCAGTGCTATGGAACGAAGGCTTCTCCATGAAAAGCATAGGATGATCAAGCCTGAGGACTGGAAGAGAACCAGAAAGAGAAGTGGAGAGAACTGGTCCTCCAATACTGCCCAGTGAGGAACCCCCATGAGATGAGAGCCGACTTGTTAATGGAAACACCGTAGAAGCCAGAGGTCAACGAATTACAGGTTAAATTACTGAAAGAAAATAATTCAACCCAAAATTCTGTACTCAATAGAAATAGCCCTCGAAAACGAAAGTGAAATAAAGATGTTTTTGGACAAATGAAAATGAGGGAATTTGTCACCAGAGGTCTTGTACTAATAGAAAAGGCTTTTTTTTTTTTTTTTAGGGTGAAAGAAAATGATCCCAGATAGAAAAATAGAAATTTAAGAAGGAATTAATAAGACTGGAATTAGTGAACTCATGGGTAAATATAAATTATGTGCTTGGAATGCCTTGTAGACTTTAAATTATATGAAGAACACAAATGCATGCCAATGGTAACTGCAAAACCCAGGAGGGATTAAATAGAGTTTAGAGGTCTTAAGGTTCTAGCAATATTAGGAAAGTGGTAAAAGTAATCAAATCTGTTAGGATGCAATAAGTCAAGGATGCATGTTTTATCCTCTAGTGAAACTGCCAAAAGAGTAGACAGGACATTTAATCAAAAAGGTAATGGAAGAGAAAAGTACAATAATAAATATTCAGTTCATCTAAAAGAAGTCAAGACAGGTATAGAAAGAAGAAGGCAAGAAAGATATAAAAATAGAGACCAGGTCCTAACAAGGCAGAGCAAATCATAAAAACTAGACAGACAGAATCCACATCTCTATCCAGCAGTTGGTGTTACTCTTCCATCGCCGTATGGCACATGCTGTATTTATCTTGATGCTAGTATGTTTGATAGACCATACAACTCTGTCCTTATACCAACCACAAAATACATCTACTCTACATTTCTTCTAAATCCTAAACTCTTTTCAGCAGTTTTCCATAATGACCAAAAATATACTAGATGTGACTCTCTGCTAAAGCTTCATAATAGGAACAGACTTGAAGATTGAGTCACTCCAGAGAAGCACACAAGCGGTGCCAATCTGTGGAGAGCGACTTTTAGCAGCCGCTGATCTGAATTAGGCTTGTCAGGAGGGATTTTGACAAAAAATGCCCCAAATGCCCTGAGTCATTGCTTCTCTTTTTTGGGGAAAAAAAAATGTTCTCTACTCTTTCAAAGCTCCTCAATGTTTACTAAAAATATCTGAATTCCCAAGTACATTATAAAAGGTAAAACTTATGCACATAGCATTAGAAAGCCTTGTCTTAATGAGGATATTGATGTTTTGAATAATGCAATGCGTACAGAAGAACACCACATTTGAATCAACACTCAAGAGCCTTCCTTGGTTCCTTAAGCAAAAATTTGACTGATGTTTGCAATAATCAACTAACATTCAGAATAAACCTTTTAATTCAGGGATCCCATGGAACCGTCCTTATTTGCTGTCTTAGAGATTAATAGCTTTTGAGTAAAATCTACTAGGTGTATAAGGATAGTTGCCAGAATGGCCTAAACTAGATGCTAAAATATTAACATCATTGATCTTCATTAAAAAAAATGAAACTTTTCACAGGTTATTTCTTAAATAAAGGTTAAAATTCTGTGTAAGATTATATGACAGACCACTACCTTCAACAGAAAGGCTAGCAGGTGTTTTAAAAATCTGATCTGTGACAGTAAACAGAAGATCAGAAGAGGAGGGCTATATTTCCTAATAACATTCAATCTAATTTATTTATAATTCTTAAATTTATTAGATTGTGAAACAGAAGAATCATATTTATCATAGATAAAGAGCTTTAATATTTTAGAATTACAAATACATGCAACTGTAAATGCTATTTAAATGGTGATCCATTAACATATAAGCAACTAAAGTATTTAGAATATGATTCAATACTGTAAAAACATCAAAATCAATGTTTATCCATCCTTTAAATGTTATGTCCTATTGGTAACCACAAAACAGGGCATGATTTCCTTCACCATTATTTGATATTTCATAATAAATTAAATATTACCATTAAAAAGGCAGTAATGATTTTGGAACAAAAGTTTAGTTTTGATACTGAAAGACAATCATTTCTTTTTA